TGCTTACATGCTTTATAATCATCTACGATATTAGCGTTTTTGACGATACATTTCTAGTGTATACTGAATATTTCAAGGAAAGTACTATTACGCTAGTCTGTGACTAACATAGAGCACATTCATAATTTTGTTTCATCTAGATTTAATGCAAAAAATATACGTTATCATACGAACATACATATACAAATTGTATAATACAGATTCCTTGTATAGGCATAAAACAAAGAGTCACGTGATAGGGCGTCATCAAACTTCCCAAATAGAACGTGCGGTATCTCAATTGTTCAATATAGTGGCTGATCATTTGTTGTCTATGACTAATCGTACCATGGGATACCTGTCACAGAGGAAAGGACAGGTGATGGGGCGTGGGCGAAACTTAAGACCACGTTTGGTCACTCAACAGCTGGATAGAGATTGATTATTGGCTATACCGCTGACCAGTCTATATGCTGGGTTTCGGCTTGTAGAAGTCAAGCTATCATGTAACAGTTTGTGTATAGTAAACATACATATTCGTAACGATCTATGAAATATACACATAAGACAAATAGGAGTAGATAGATCTCAGAGAACGAAAACACATTTTAGTGTTTTTCAATAAGTAAAACAAAGTGATTGAAATCCAACCATTGAGTAGAGATAGTATTTATTTTCATATACATTTTACGCACACAGCTAGTACATAAAACATAATGGTTTGCTGTACATGTAAATATAATCTTCACCTTGATACGAATGAAAATCTAAATTAAAGTACACGTATTATAGAATTCAAAAAGTGACACGATACTGAATTATTATAATGTATAAACTTACAGTTTAATCCGCCCAAGTATTTATGAAGATGGGCGTGCCTATATTTAAACTGAATGTAAACGAGGTTCATAAGATTACAGATGTGCATGTATGCATAAACATTACAAAGAGGGGCGTGACTCCATAAAGCAGATTGTCCAATGATATAACGTCGCATCTGTTTATTTTACACTTGTCACGGGACAAACCTTTCAGCAAGTGCGTAACTACACATGCATTCTACCGGAGGCTGTTATTTCAAGGTCGAAAGAGGTGTTCAATTATCTCATTACTGTAATCTGATTGAATGATTATGCGCATGTGTAACTGATATACTATCCAGCTTTTATTGACGATGGATGAATAGAGACTGAGTTCATTGAAACACATGATAATTACACCGGATTTGATAATTACAGAGATCAAATACAAATGTTTTTCACAATGCTCATGTAAATTGCATAGAAAACTGACAATTTAAATCAACATCAAACTTTTAACAGCTTGAACAAAAATGCTTGAAATACCTTTGTATGGTTTACATGTAATAACTTATGATATTACTTCTTTCTATGTCTAAGAATTTTTTGAATTACCAACTTACTGTGTTTTGTAACAAACGTAGTAAAACATTTCATTGTTGTAATAAATGTATATTCGATGCAAAGGCGCGACTGATCACTTTATATTCGATTAGGTAACATTATCAACTTTAGATTATGGAAAATAACTAGTTACAATTCAGTAAGCTTTAAATAAGTAAGTTAAATTATGCCTAATCTATTCGAGCTTGGATGTATAATTATTTGTGTTTATACATTATGTTTCATTATATAAAACACGACAACGTAATAATACCCAAAAAGTAAATTCAAACTATTCTGTTGTGTTTGAATTCTTTGTATGTCCTTGAAATTTCGTGTATTGTTTCCTATTTATTAGGCAGTTGACGAAAATATAATCTTCAGTAACCTCTAAACGATTACATCTAATTCAATAAATGTGCATAAGAAGTATTTTACTATCCATTCCCAATGAAGGGTACCAGACACTTACCTCTGTAAAAACATAATAATCCCCTCTCTCGCCGACATGTGTTCATTTGCCAAACGCTGTAGAAGCTTATGATAATGATTAGCAATTGCTATCAAAACACTTTAAATACTTCTTCTGATTGACACTAAAGGTAGCATCTCTCGTAGGACAAGCTAATATTTGCTCAGTACTACTAAATTGTTTGAAATAATAGGTACAGTGCGATTTCGAAAAGTACGACACACATATGCGTCTCTCGCTGAAAAAGAGCTGCTTTCTGTTGACGAATATGTGTGGCTCTCGCTGTGAGAAACTGCCAATTACCTGCCCCATAAACACGTCACTCTCTGTGAGGAGCTGAATAATCTTCCCCATATATAAGGCTCTCGACCTTAATGAGTTAAGGCAAAAATAAAGGTTTGGACTGAAAGAAGGAAAAAATGGGAAAATAAAAATAAATTCATCAAAGAATATAAACTTTTTAGAAATATTGAAAAACACTTGTACAGGCAACTGAAAACAAACGGCGATGGTGAGCATGGTAAGCGGCCTCCCATAGATGCCAATGAAAGGTTCTGGAAACAGTTGTGGTCTGTACCCGGCGACTGTAACCTGGAGGCACCATGGGTCCGTGATTATGACCATGCAATGCATGAGAAAGTAACTAGGTCGTTTGTCTGCTAAATCTCACCAGATTGTCTGGAAAGCATTATAAAAAGTCCAAATTTAATACAGCTGCAGGGCCTGATGGCATTCGAAACCGATATTGGAAACTCTTCCAAACACAATTGCTTCACTGCTTCAATACTCTCGTGGACACAGGTGATGTTTCTCCATGGTTCTACAAAGGTCGCACAATACTCCTTCCCAAAAATGGAGACTTGACTGATCCCAAAAACTTCCGCCCTATCACATGGTTTGAATACACAATACAAATTATTCACAGGGCGTTTGACAAACCTCGTGTCATCATGCTGTTCTGCTAATGATATAATTTACAGAGAGCAGAAGGGAGCAAGAAAGGGATATTGGGGTGCAAGGATCAACTTCTTGTACAGAAAATGATTTTGGAAGAGGTTAAAACATATCACCGCAACCTCTCCATGTGCTGGATTGATTACAAAAAACCCATACGACTCTGTCCCTCATGAATTGATTATGAAGTCTCTTCGTTGTATTGACCTCCCGGAGCGACCACTTGATTTACTCTAGTCTTTAATGAGTTGCTGGTCGACTCAACTTGAGATGTCCTCGCAAGGGCAGGTGCAGACTTCGGAATCTTTTCCAATCAGAAGGGGAATTTTCCAGGGGGACTCCTTCAGTCCTTTGCTTTTTTGTTTGTCTCCAAATCCTTTGAGCTTTCTGCTTAACAGAGAGGAGGATAACCATTCCGGACCTTCTCAGCACAGATCCCCAACACGGATTACTCATCCCCTTGACATGGCTGACATCGAGCTCCTTGCCAAAGGAGATAGCAATTTGAAAGAGCAGGTTCTCCTTGTCGAGTCCTTTTCTAATGATATTGGCATGACATTTGGACTTGACAAATGTAATACTCTTCATTTGAAACGTGGCAAGGTAGTTAATGATGGATCGGTCAAGTTACAGGGGGGAGGAGTTATTGAGCATCTTGTGGAAGATCAGGCCTACACCTATCTTGGAATGCAAGTTCGAGACAAGCTCCAGAGTGCTCAAATTCAAAAAAAACTTCGGGCCGAGTACAAATCTCGCTTAAAAAGAATCTGGAGCTCAGAGCTAAATGCTCGAAACAAGATCAAAGCCACCAATACTTTTGCTGTGCCAGTCCTTTCCTATTCCTTTGCAGTAGTTGATTGGACAAAACAAGACATCCAGAGTCTTGATCGCCTGACCAGAAGGATCATGTCTGATAACAGAGCCCACCACCCTCGTTCCTCTCTCAATCGTTTATATATGCCAATGAATTCTGGAGGTCGGGGTTTGATTAATGTGGAGGCTCTTCATGATAGAATTTAATGTGTACTTTTGCACATATTTATTTATCGGATGATCTTCTGGTGATGCATGTGAAGACTCATGATGAAAGCAAGGAATTCCACAGCTATTTTAAGCATGCGAAGGTTGTTGGACAGAATCTAAAATTTGAGGTTGATTTTTTGATGGCGATGTACTGCTGGACGGTGATGAAGAAAGTGGTTCGAATCTGTACAAATTTTGAGCGCTAGGTTTCTGACTTGCCGCTGACCTTAACATGTGATGCCCTCGAAGGTTGTACCTGAAATTTTGCGTGCTTGAGTTATTATTTTGGAAAATTTGTTTCTTTGTTTTATTGTGAGAGCCCCCGACCACGCTTCAATGGAAAAGCAAAGAACACTTTGGATATACGTTTTGTAAAATAAAACAAGCATTGATGTGCTAACATTGAACGATCTAAGCTTTCTCGGAAAGTAAAGGCGTTGTTGGCACTTAGCATAAATTCTGTCCGTATTATTGTTCCAGTTCAGCTTATCGTCTATACCGGATCCCAAATACTTATACTCTGACAGGATTCCTATATCAGAGTCATGAATAGTCACAGGCAGTAAATCTTCCTTCTTAGTCCGAAAGTCTATTATCATTTCTTTTGTCTTTTTAGTATTCAGGATTTAGTATGAGCGTGTCCGCGCGCGTGCGCGTGCGTGTGCGTGTGCGTGTGCGTGTGCGTGCGTGTGTGGCTGCTTGTTCTTGCCCAGACTAACATCGATGATAAAACAGGATACGATACTCAGTAGGTACCACTCAGACACAGTGTACTGATCGGTATTTTAACCTTAATGCCAGGCGACAGGCATCGCCATGAGATGGAACTGACAGTTATACTGTGAATAAATACGTCTATGCCACAGAACAATCAGTCTGCAACACCTTCCTCAAACTGGAATGTTTCAGGGGGTTAGTGTAATCAGGCAGTTCCTACAAGCATAGTTGAATACTCGTTCTAATGTAACCCATCGAAAGCATCTATATTCAACACAGCAGGCAAACAGACCATGCTGCGAACACTGGTGTTTGTCAAGGATACAGTAAATCAATTGTCCTTACGACTAGCAAAGTATTTCAGATATCTTCGTATTTCCGCAACATGAACATATGGCCATGGTTGTCATCAACTAACATTAATACAGACAATCCTGAATGGCATGCTTCTATTTATTACTTTGTTACACACAGACTCACGTGAACTGACAAGCAATTAAGGTTCAGATGCCAAATGGGGCACGGGTCACACCTTTGCGGTGTTATTGTGAATGTAAGACGTTGACGGTGACCTCACACAGAGACAGGGCTTCTCCAGGACTTTTGAAATTCTTGGTGATCCTCAAGTAACGGCCAGTCTTGGGGATGTCACAGATCAAGGTCACCGCTTCACCTTGACCCACTTGTTCTTCACGAGATGTGCAGCTTTTCGGGGTGACAATCTCATCTAAGCAGGATGATGGCAGTTCATCATAGACATCAATCCGTATGTTTGCGAGCCACGTGTCTAGATAGAGTTTCAGCATATACGTTAATATTTATTGAGGAAAGAACAAATGTTCGAAATGGGCTTCACACACTGTACCCATGTGGCAAATCGAATCCGGGTCTTTGGCGTGACGAGCAAATGCTTTAAACATAAGACTATCCAACCTCCCCGTAAGACGATAAAAGCAACATACATTGCAGCAAAAATCGGAAACTAATGATACCTGGGCGTTGACAAAACTATGTTTGATTGATTATGTTTATGTAGTCAGCACACTTACATTTATCATCATTCCTATTTGTGATCTCCACACTAGCCACTCTAACTGCTCCATTCAGATCCATCTGCCACCAGGGGCTGTCTCCAGCCTCACTTCCAGTGACGGAACAGGTAGTGACGTCATCATCAGTTGCCATGTTTGCATTGGTGGAGAAGGAAGTCAAAGAACTTTGAACAGCGAGACCTTTCCTTGATAGTATGAAACCTGTACATAACATGAAAACAGAACTGATCTTGTCTTTCAGTGGCATTCAGAAGTTGTACATTGCTGTCCAAGATAGTTTTATGGATTAAACTTCTTTTTAATTTCTCTCACGACGTTTCGAGACCATTCCAGGTCCCCTTCATCAGTTTTAACAGTTTTCATTTCTAGTCCGATATATCTGACATTAAGGGAATTAATCACGGGATTAGTGTAAGTTTCCGAGCGAACGAACGCTACAGATAAATAGGATGTTGTTTCCACAGTTCTAGTGTACTATGTAAATGTTACCTCCTAACGTAACCTCGCACAAGGTCAAAGGCACCTTGTCATGCAGGGAAATCTTTATAAAACGCGCAACAATGGGACTGTCGCATGTAATTGTTTCTGTTCCTTGAACTTGATCAGAATGCATTTTGCATAAATGCGGATCCGCTTCGGGATTTTTTGATGGGATCTTCCTCAAAGCCTTCAATTTTCAGGTTTTTCAAACGAAAGGCTGAAGAAAAAGAAAACACACATGTATACATGTGCCTAGAGATGGGTAAATTTGGGCAGTTACATAGTTGAAATACGTTATAGTTATGCTAAGTAGCCAATATATGTAAAAATATAAGGTGAAAAGCAAATCATACCACAACAATCCTTTCTGTTCGTCAGTGTTATGTTGTGAACTTCTGTCTTCGCTCTAAGACGTCCTTGCCACCATGGAGGAGAAGGATCTGTGAGACTCGTGTGAGAACAAGACCCTCTTGTGAAAGTGGCATCTGTCTTGCCATCAATAGCTCGATCTGCCTCTCCTCCATTGTGAGTTGAACTGGATGTTGCAGACAAGAAGGAAGGCTTTCCATTTGCTCCATCTATACAAATGAAACTGAGAATGTCCCGTAATCACTTATTTCTATTAGGCTCGTATTGAGCTTTGTAACACATGCATATTTGTAACCGCTGGCAATCTGATCCCTCTGTGATCGGCTAATATTTTTAGAAACCCATAGCAATACTGGATCATATCATCATGAGTATACTTCAATTATAAGGGAGAACAAGACCTCTCCGTCTATTCATCCGATTCCAAGTCAGTTAAAATTTGCTTCACATGATGTAAGAAATTTTAATAATAAACTTAAGTAAATGAAAGCAGGTTAGGTTAACGCCAAACCAGTTTTTGCTGTACTGTACTGCAATTGATCCGCGAGACGACACTGCTTCTTGATATTCCTTTGTACGACTTCCAACTTTTCTTCGGACTCCTTCACAGCATTCTGGAGATTCCCCGTTGTTGACTTTATTTTGTTGTTGACTTCCTTCATTTCTTTCTGTATTGCCATCAACAGTTCCCCCTTTGTTGACAGTTGTTGTTTCTCCTGTTGCTTAAGTCTGTCCTCCAGCAACTGTACCCTGCCCCTTGTGGCATTTAATTCCACTTGCATTTGCTCCCTTATTGTAGATGCCTGATTTTCCTGTTGCTCCAACATTTCCTGAAGTCGCTGTACTTTGCCTCTTGTCTCCTCTAATTCAACTTGGACCTTAGCCTCAATTGTGGCCGTTCCTTTGACGTCCTTCCCAGGGCCAACTCGTTTGATTCCGAATCTGGGGAGGTTAAATACAGGTGATTCAAATCCATGAAACTGGGCCAGTGCCACCCCAAAAACATATACGAATACCGCACAGTAAAGTCGTGTCATTCTATCTGATTGAGTATGTGCAATATGTGCCTCAGGAAGTTTAGAAGAGTGGTTATATTTATACCAATTACAGTGACTCATTATTTCAAAACGAATTGAGAAAAACGTGTGAGCAACTTTAATTGGAGCTACTTATACCGATTGTATTCAGATTAGTGAGTGTAATCAGATGGAGGTCACATTACCTGTGTTGCAAAATCATTTCTCTCGTGTTGACACGTAACATTGATGTAGGAAAGTATCAAAGAACATCAGATTTAAAGCCAGCTCTGCCCAATACGCTTTCAACAAAGCTTGAGTTAAAACACTAAAGCACAATCAGGGATCGGTGTTGCTAAGGAACCACCACACTTGTACTCGGGCAAAAAGGTTACGGTTAAACTGTGTCCATCTGCTGAAGTAGTCAAAGACAATATCGCGTATAAAGACATGTTTGAAGAACAAACCTCCATTGTCATGTGTGACAGATGCCGGAGGAGATGTTGAATGTTAAACATAACGTATCTGTCAGTTTGCCTACGAAACAAGTCGTGTTTCACTTAAAACATTTTCTCAGTGTGTCTCTTGTGAATTAGTGAGTTTGCTTTAACGCTTAAACAATATTTCAGTTATACCACTGAGGTTGATGAGGGTCGCCAGTTTGAAATGATGCAGACGTTTACTGTTGGAACTTACAAGCCCTGGCAACACTGACGAACCTTCAAGCATAATTACACAGGGATTCCAAGCCACGCCCATGGACTCCCCACAGATATACTCTGAGCAACCAGTTGGGTCACCTGTATCCCATTATTTGTGAATGCATTAATGGTCTGTACCTTCTCCAGATACCACCACACATTATACATGGCCCCCTGACCTGATGTCACATGATGTCTTATTGCGATTGCGCAGATCGATGCTCATAATGTCGATGCTCATAATGAATTATTGCGGAGTGCGACATTAAACAATAACAAAATAACCCCAAACAAACAGTTCACAGATTGTTTTACACCAAGCCTAATTTGTTTCTTTTGCACTGACGTTGTACATTTGAAAACAAGATATATGGATTGCTACCCTATGGTTCTGGTACCATCCACTTCATCAGAGTCAGCCGCCTATCCTACTCAGACACCTCTGACTCTGAGCGTGTGGGTTCGAGTCCCGGATGTTCGTACAGTGCTAGAATCTGTGGTCCACCACCTAGACCTAGAGTCTGTGGTCTGTTTTAGCCGGTACAGTGAAGATATATACGATGCGTAAAAGCTGAAAACTGATATTCGCTATATGTGTGAACATCGCCTATATAGATGGAAACATGTATCGTGACATCCCTTAGTTTTCAAATTATCAATATGTTACAATTAATCATAGCAAAGCAGCTTAACTAAACCTCAAGTAACTTTCTATCTGGATAAACTGACCTGCAAGAAATAATCAAATGGCAAATCTAAACGCAAAAAACTGTAGTCTATTCATGTAAGCAAACATGGCAAAAGTTACTCATTTTGTAATGCTAATAAACGGCCATTAACAAGCGCGGTCATTTTGAATTTCTGGCATACAATCCTGAAGAAATCACATATGTACCACTAACCGAGCACAGTGTCAGTATGTCGTGTGACTTCAATGGCATTCCTGTGGGATATCTGTGGAGTATTCTGTGAATCATTATGCAGCAAATATGCCCGCTGGGACTCCTGGTGGGTCAGTGTAGCGGTATAGGTGTTGGCAGGAATGGTACATTCCGAATGTTAGTTCCTAATGGATCCATTCCTTTTGGATCTCTGTGGAGTATTCTGCGAATCACTATGCCCCAAACAAGCACGCTCGGACTCCTGGTGGGTCAGGGCAGCGATATAGCTACCGTCTCTTGACGTTGCTTAGCATTGTCGTCCATTGAAGACTGGCCGTATTTTCACAGGATCATCATCGGAAAATGGTACAACAGCAACGTTTTCGGTGTCAGTGATGTATCGTTGTCCATTCCGATTTTGTCTGATCGTCACAAGGTCAAGTGTACAGAGGCAACCTCACATCATCAATAAATCTCCGCAAAACAGTACTTGCGTTGTGTATTTGCAGAGTTTCTGTGGCACCAAACACAAGCTCGGCCTTCAGTCGTGAACAAAAGACATCGGCATTCGTCCGACAAGTGGTCTCCTCCCCATGACCTCAGATTTCACTCACGTCGAGCTTGACACCAAGCCGTCCGATTTTACTCGATTTGGGACCGTTCTGTTGGACAGACGACGAGGAGGAAGCCACTTTTTAACACGCCACTTGAAGTGAAGGGATGACGTCTTGTGATTCTGAGAAGGACTGTATCCTCCCTAGGAGTTGTTACTCTTGTTCGACCTGAACTATGTTAGTTGATGTTTTCTGGCAAATCGGCCGATAGTCGATGGATCTTTTGCAATTGCCCTCAATGCCATGCCAACATTCAGCATATCAATAACTTGCCATTTGTGACCAGTTGTCAGTTTTCCAAGTTATCGAGCTGTAAGAACAGTTTACGGAAACTTGATATTTGCTTAATGATGGGTATACGTATTGCATGTGATGCTCGCCTTTGATCGGATCGTAGCAGGTACATATAAAAGCAATGTATGGTGGGCCTGAGGGTAATCATTATCACACGGACAAAATTAATAATGAAAGGAATATAGAGGGCAATATGTTGGTTATATATTTTCCACGTTACCTCTTCACGGGTATGAAAAGATATCCTAGTATTGAGGACAATATCAGTTTTGGCTGCTTACTTCCTGTAGACTATAAGTGGGCTGATTCTTCACTACATTCCGTAATGTACGTATTATCATATGTTTCTGTATCCAGTTATAATATATATTTAACTGTATTTGCTACAATTTGTGTTTTCTTTGTATATATAATTTCTAGCCCACTTATTTAAGGACAAACTTAATTCTTTCATCAATGGGTCACGAAAGGTGATGACTATAGAAGTAATAGTTCAAAGATCAGGACAATTTGTCACAATGAAAAGTAACAGCCGTATGTGTATGTACTGCACAAGTTGTGATGTACGAGTTTTGACGAAAGTGGTGTTGTCAAGGTTACGACAAAGACCTCTGTGAATGTTTTATTGTAAATACGTGAGCCTGTGTTTGTTTACGTTACTTGCCCTTGACATGCCTCTGCATGTGTGTGTGATGGTTGCCATAGAAATCAAGCTGTCAATACGGTTTAGTCAACAAGCTACGTCCATCGCCTTCCCACAAAGAGAGAGGGGCGGTGGGGTAGCCTAGTGGTTAAAGCGTTGGCTCGTCACGCCGAAGACCCGGGTTCGATTCCCCACATGGGCACAATGTGTTAAGCCCATTTTCTGGTGTCCCCCGCCGTGATATTTCTGGAATATTGCTAAAAGCGGCGTAAAACCAAATTCAGTCAGTCAGTCAGTCCCACAAAGAGCGAGAAACAAAAACAATATAAGACTCATAATAACATTCTGAAGTCGATAGACATAAGATATGAAAGTGTGATTTCATGTCGGTAAAAGACGTTTGTATTTCTTTTCTTATTTACACTTCTTAAATAATATGAAATAAGTATACGTTTACCATAACATACTCACTTTATCTGGCAAGTACTGCAGAAACTTGCACTAGAGGTGTAACGCTTCCAAAGACAGGAGTGGTTTGGGCATGCCATCTACGGACAAACGTTATGATCGGAACTGACGGTAATATGTTCAGTGACAGGAAGTGAGACAGAAGGCCACCCCTGGTGGCAGAGTTGATTTTAGACAGTCCTGAGTGACACGAATTGTAAGTAAAACTTACCCCGACCACAAGACGCGTCAATACATTATGAAGTAATATCTGTAAGATGCTAAACATAACTTAATTGGAACAAAATTGTGACTTTCATCAAATTCTATTTCCAAGCAAGGTGAGGGAGAGAGACTGGTATTTATATATGAAAACAGAGGCTGCCTAACTGGTATTCACGTTTTCTAGAATATGCACACAGGTAAATCAGGAAATAGACTACCTGAGGATCTTAGAACGTTGTCAGATCATGGATATACCCATAACTTCAAGGTTAACGCCTAAGCTGTTGTATTCCGTTTGCACTTTGCATATGCGAGCAGAAATAAAGTGAGTGAGTGAGTTTAGTTTTGCGCCGCACTCAGCAATATCCCAGCTATATGGCGGCGGTCTGTAAATAATCTGTATGCAGAAAGAAACATAGCCGTGGGAAGGGGGCACTGTTGGAGCCTCAGGGAATGGGTAATTATTGGCTGAATATGATAACGAACTTTATCACAGGTGATCACAAGTATCACCATACAATCTTTGTCTCTATCATTTGCTGTTTACAAACACAAACATTATACGTACAACCTGTTAATAGTCAATACCTATCCAACGACAGATATGGTGTGTACAATCTACAATCTTGATAATTTGTTGGCTTAATACATACAATCTGTATGAATAGCTCATTGCAAGCAGCAAAACATTAGCTCGAAACACAACAGACTCCCATAATGCGATTTAAACATGGAAAGCACACAAACTCTTGAGAGTGAGAGAACAATACCAGTTACGTGAAGGAAGGTGTTTGTTCCAGATGATTACGTATAATAACAACTGGATATCCAAGGACGATCAAACAGCCGTACACGCAAACGCTCAATGTTGCATTTAACTCTGCTATATGTGTACCGTGCATAAAACACTATGTTGAATTTTTTGGGGGTTCTGCTATACATTTTCAACTGTTCTTGTATTTTGAGCAATTCTATATTTACTATCTAATTTTCTCCATACTTCAGTCTCCCGCCCTCTGTTACATAACAGGCGGGTACAACTTTTTGAGAAAGGGAAGGGGGGTGGGGGTTTGCACACTTCTTTTTCACCTGTTATCACGAGAGTTTTAATGGTAAAAAAGTAAGATTGTATATGGATAACAACTTCTTTTATTATATATGATGCAGTTGTATCCATAAAGCATCTTACTTTCTAATTAGTCACCAACTTCTAAATGGCAATCAAATGGATCAGTTTCAATGGTCATTTAAAGACTTTCAGGACAACAACAACAAAAAAAAAAGGGGGGGGGGGGCATCCCCTCCTCTCACACAAACATATTCAGAGGCTAGCGTGGGTTTATTTGCTGTGTATAAATTTTCGCGGTAAAATGTTTTGCGCGAAGAACGCGAAAATAACACCTGCGCGATATATAATATGTTTACAGTAAGGGTAACGCATGAGTGAATTCCCAGCGGATAAGTGCACTTTTTCACTGAATTGTGCACTTTGTGTTACAAGCATGAAACTTGGCATGATTGTAGCTTATACCATTCTAACAGAATAAAGATCGAGAGGCCTCGCAGATTTTGTATATTTTCCATAATTTTGGGGAAAAAGTGAAAAATATAATTTTTATACTATTTTCGTCATAACCTTTACAAAATTCTCCAATTCTCATAAGTCATATATCAAATTGTAGGAAATCCATAGCTGGTCATTTTCCATCTGTACATGTCTTTTTATCTTTAACGGTTAGGTCTACGGAAGTCAATTTATATCATGACTACCCGAAAATGCGAAAAGTGGCGGCCATTTTGAAAAATGGCCGCCAATTTTCGCACACCATTTTGCAAAATGGCCGCCATATAGAGTACATCAGTAAAATAAGTATGAGATCATCCCATGATCTAAAATATTTTTATCATTTCTTTGCAAATTCAATACCAGAAGCCTCACAGATTGTTGTAATTTTTTATATTTGGGGGGAAAAAGTGGGGAAAAAGTGGGGGAAAATTGAATTTTCCCAAAATGTTCCTTTAACTCAATTTCAAATCCTCATAAATTATCTAACTAGAATATTGTGAGAACAGACGAAAGTTTATTTTAAGGAATATATCATTAGATTTACTTACATGTATAATGTAAGAGCTTGATTGGCTATAGATCACCTATGAAAACTTATCAAAATCAACGCAAATATATTTCATTTCAACATCAATGTCAAAGTAGCTATCTCATTAATCTATGGACGGTTACTCAATCATGTGTAATTGTATCTAGCTTGACTGGATCAGAAAAGTGCAGTGCACTTAAGAGCTGCTTTTAAACACTTGGACCAGTTTGAACATTTTATACACATGCATTTCAGCAATTCGTGGCAGCCCTTTCATGCCAACAGAAGAGTTGTCCATACAGGTCCAAGCTCTCCCCTAGAGTTATTGCCAACCCTATACAGAGGGCTTGGTAACTCCTGTGATTTCATCAGGGATTGCTCTGAAACATAACTCCCCTGATTTACAGCTCTCTTTATATGTTGGATCAAAGCTTATTCTGTTGGGGGAATATTGTCCAAAGTTCTCCCCATCGTGGTGAACAAATGCTTTCTTGCTTCATTCACTTTCATGAGGTTGCTTGCTCTGTCATACAGCAATGATGAATCAGCATTAGTGATTAGTGATTTCAAGTGGTGGACAGGTGAGGGAAATAGAGGTGCCTGTAAGTTCAGGAAAAGCAATCCATGCATTCCACGAGGTCTTTTCATATCAAAGGATGACACAATGTCACAGAATGTGAAGCTGTGACACATTGGAAGGGATCTACTTTTCTCAGGACCCAGACCTGATGCAAGTTCATGAATTACAATATAGAGGAAGAGTTTTCCGGTACCAAACCCCACCCATACTTCTTCAAGATCGAGAATGCCTGTTGCAGCTACGGCCAAGACTGACTGACTGACTGACTGAGTTTGGTTTTACGCCGCTTTTAGCAATATTCCAGCAACATCACGGTGGGTGACACCAGAAATGGTCAAGACAACCACATCAGTGTCAACAGTACGGCTGTAAAACTTCTTCCATCCTTTATGTGAAGCATCAGTGAAGAAAGTCTTTTTATCTCTTAATAGTTACAGGGTGCCAATTCCAAAAGGTCTTTTGGTTGATTGGACACCACATATTCGCCAATAGGGCTGATGACTTGTTTGATTCTATCAAGGCTATTTCTGTACAAGGAAAGCAAAAAGATATTTCTTGCTGGTATCACACCTCAGGAATTCTTGCCAGTGCCTCAGAACTGGCTTCCACTCGTCGTCTTTTTCCACTTCCTCTTCTTGTTCTTACACTGGATTTTTACGCTGTCCGTTTTGTATTCGTCCCAGACAATATCCACTCTCTGATTAGTGTCCAGAAGAGACTGCAAGTACTTCAAGAACACATTATCAGCATATTCATCAAATGCTATTGGAGCTGCTGGTTTTAGCATGTTTATTACTGCATATCCATCAAGGATTGATACGTCAACATTTGGTGTTGAGTCAGTTGGTGGTGAAATTTTCTTCAAAGCAATTGAGAAGAACTGATTTTGCGCATGGACGTAGAGAACCTTGATGAGATATAGTTGGATAGCAAGACTGATTTTCATGTCTGACAAACTCATCCAGGTTTCCATCCCTTGACTCGTCTGTGTATATCTTGTCTTCATGGAAGAAGTTCTACATCCGTATTGTTGACACAGATGTGGTTGTGTTGGCCATTGCTGCATCAAGCGTTCTCAGTGTTTCACAGCTTCACAGGCCATGACAGTATGTCATCCTTTAGTGGAATTGAAAAGAAGGCCTCGCGGAATACATGGAATACTTTTCCTGAACTTACAGGCACCTTTATTTCCCTCGCTTGTCCACCACTTGAAATCCTAATGCACAAAATTAATCAGCATGAGAGAGTTGTTGTACTGCTGTATGACAGTGCAAGCAACCTCATGAAAGTGAATGAGCAAGAAAACATGTGTTTGCCACAAAGGGGAGAACACTGGACAATATTCCCCCAACAGAATCATTCCCCCAACAGAATCAACTTTGATCCAACATACTAGTAACTATGGACAACTCTCACGAAGGCATGAAAGAGCAGCCGGGAATTGCTGAAATGCATGTGTATAAAATGTTCAAACCGGTCCAAGTGCGTTAAAGCATCTCTCAAGTGCTATGCACTTTTCTCATTCAGTCAAGCTAGATACAATTACACATGATTGAGTAACATTCCATAGAGTGATGAGATAGCTACTTTGACATTGATGTTGTGTTGATTTTGAAATGTTTTTATAGGTGTTCTATAGCCAACCAAGCTCATACATTATACATGTAAGTAAATCTAATGATATATTCCTTAAAATAAACTTTCGTCTGTTCTCACAATATTCTAGATACATAATTTATGAGGATTTAAAATTGACTTAAAGGAACATTTTGGAAAATTCAATTTTTTCCCCACTTTTCCCCCCAAATATAAAAAATTACAACAATCTGTGAGGCTTCTGGTATTGAATTTGCAAAGAAATGATAAAAATATTTTAGATCATGGGGTGATCTCATACTTATTTTACTGATGTACTCTATATGGCGGCCATTTTGCAAAATGGTGTGCGAAAATTGGCGGCCATTTTTCAAAATGGCCGCCACTTTTCGCATTTTCGGGTAGTCATGATATAAACTGACTTCCGTAGACCTAACCGTTAAAGATAAAAAGACATGTACAGATGGAAAATGACCAGCTATGGATTTCCTACAATTTGATATATGACTTATGAGAATTGGAGAATTTTGTAAAAGGTTATGACGAAAATAGTATAAAAAATTATATTTTTTCACTTTTTTCCCCAAAATTATGGAAAATATCTGCGAGGCCTCTCGAATCTGCGAGGCCTCTCGATCTTTATTCAGTTAGAATGGTATAAGCTACAATCATGCCAAGTTTCATGCTTGTAACACAAAGTGCACAATTTGATCACTTATCCGCTGGGTCACAAATGTAGCCTACGAGTGTTGTATCTTACCATCTGTTCGTTCACCAAGTAAGTGTGTCTATACACCGGGAATGCTACATATCGTTAGATATCATGTTTTGAAGAAGTAAACATCCTATGGTATCTCCCAAGTATGTACCTCAGGTTTGCAGAATCTTCTTGAAGTGTTTGCGAAATCACAGCGGCATGTTGCGACATTTCCGCAAACATAACACTGTTCTACTACGGACACACCATGGTAATCGCAGCAATTCTGCAAACTTCAGAAAGCCCGTGTCACGTTCCCGTGACTGTACCTCGATGAGCATGTAAGTATTTGTGAGCAGGAGGGTGGGTGGTATATAAAGTTAACACCATGTTCCTGTTTCTATTTCAGGACACAAGATGGTACTAGCACTGCTCCTACTATTAATATTACCAGGTGTGTACCGTATATCATTGTTGCATCACACACATCGTGTACACTGTGCAATTTCCATTCATAGCTACTAATAGATCAAATGTTTATACGGACCTAAATGTAAAGCTGATATTCGGCCGAGAAGGGTGAATGTGTCGTCTTGCAAAACCCCATACAGGTTAAAATTGTACCCAGGGTGTTAGCGTACCCTGGCTTCTTGGAGTGGAACATTGCTCATACTACCAGTCACTGGTCTGCCTGTTAGCGATTCGGTTGTTGCAAGACTTATAGATGTAATATGCCCGAGAACAATGGAAAACAAGAAACATAAAGAAGTTCTTGTTCGTACAGATATCAAATATGTGTGGTGATAAACTTCTCCCACAATATATTGTTGGATATTGTGTTGCAGAGTTTTGTGAAAATTGTTGAATACATAATGGCACCTTATATGCCACAAATACCCCCATTTTCACACTGTCAATCCAATCCGACCTTACACAATACGGTAGAAGTATCATTTAATTTTCATTCTTAAAACGTAACTCATTTCACCAAAATTCACACATCCTTCGGAACAAAGATTTACCGTAAACCACGTTTGAACTACATCCCAATAAGCTGTACAGTGTTACAGTGTTATTTTCAAATTAAGAAGGTTCTAAATTTGAAGTCAGAGATTGGTCATTTATTTTATGAATATTGCCATTGCCATGTATACATGTGTTGTAGGAAGGGAGGAGTACGGTGGAACTAGACGAAACAATTGCTCCTTTCAATTATGGCAAAGACAACATGTGAGAGAATTCGGAAATCAGTGTAACAAACGCCCAGTCCCTAACCCCACGTATCCAGCTATCACTATGTGTTACTTACAATGATTAACGTATGAGGGCAACCTGTTTTAGTTGTGGAATGCGGTCGGCTACAAGTCAGCGGTGATTATTTCGTGAAAGACGGGAGCCGCGTCTTTCTGTCAGGCGTCAACCTGGGCTGGATTAAACTGGCCTACGACTTTGGGAACAATCAATTTGCTGCACGAAAATCCAGCTATGAGAGATTCTTCAAGGACCTGCACGACTCAGGGGGGAACTCCATCCGTAAGTGAAGTGGTTCTGAAGTATTAGTCCTGTTTGAGGACATAACATGTACAAAAGATCCTGGTTTGTAAGCGTTGACAGGTTCCACGTTAGTCTGTGCGACCATTAAAGAATTTAGAGTGTCATTAGATGTTTCCAGAACTGAATCAGTCTCTGCTTGTTGTAGAGCATCATCAGATGTTTCCAGAACTGAATCAGTATCTGCTTGTTGTAGAGCATAATCAGATGTTTCCAGAACTGAATCAGTCTCTGCTTGTTGTAAATCATCATCAGATGTTTCCAGAACTGAATCAGTCTCTGCTTGTTGTAGAGCATCATCAGATGTTTCCAGAACTGAATCAGTCTCTGCTTGTTTATATAGAGCATCATCAGATGTTTCCAGAACTGAATCAGTCTCTGCTTGTTGTAGAGCATCATCAGATGTTTCCAGAACTGAATCAGTCTCTGCTTGCTGTAGAGCATCATCAGATGTTTCCAGAACTGAATCAGGATCTGCTTGTTGTAGATCATCATCAGATGTTTCCAGAACTGAATCAGTCTCTGCTTGTTAATATAGAGCATCATCAGATGTTTCCAGAACTGAATCACTGTCTGCTTGTTGTAAATCATCATCAGATGTTTCCAAAACTGAATCAGTCTCTGCTTGTTGTAAATCATCATCAGATGTTTCCAGAACTGCATCAGTCTCTGCTTGTTGTAGATCATCATCAGATGTTTCCAGAACTGAATCAGTCTCTGCTTGTTGTAGAGCATCATCAGATGTTTCCAGAACTGCATCAGTCTCTGCTTGTTGTAGATCAGGGGCGGTGGGGTAGCCTAGTGGTTAAACCGTTGGCTCGTCACGCCGAAGACCCGGGTTCGAATCCCCACGTGGGTACAATGTGTGAAGCCCATTTCTTGTGTCTCCCGCCGTGATGTTGCTGAAATATTGCTAAAAGTGGCGTAAAACCAAACTCAGTCAGTCAGTCAGTCAGTGTTGTAGATCATCATGTTTCCAGAATTGCATCAGTCTCTGCTTGTTGTAGAGCATCATCAGATGTTTCCAGAACTGAATCAGTCTCTGCTTGTTGTAGAGCATCATCAGATGTTTCCAGAACTGCATCAGTCTCTGCTTGTTGTAGATCAGGGGCGGTGGGGTAGCCTAGTGGTTAAAGCGTTGGCTCGTCACGCCGAAGACCCGGGTTCGAATCCCCACGTGGGTACAATGTGTGAAGCCCATTTCTTGTGTCTCCCGCCGTGATGTTGCTGAAATATTGCTAAAAGTGGCGTAAAACCAAACTCAGTCAGTCAGTCAGTCAGTGTTGTAGATCATCATCACATGTTTCCAGAACTGAATCAGTCTCTGCTTGCTGTAGAGCATCATCAGATGTTTCCAGAACTGAATCAGTCTCTGCTTGTTGTAAATCATCATCAGATGTTTCCAGAACTGCATCAGTCTCTGCTTGTTGTAGATCCTCATCAGATGTTTCCAGAACTGCATCAGTCTCTGCTTGCTGTAGATCATCATCAGATGTTTCCAGAACTGAATCAGTCTCTGCTTGTTGTAGAGCATCATCAGATGTTTCCAGAACTGAATCAGTCTCTGCTTGTTGTAGAGCATCATCAGATGTTTCCAGAACTGAATCAGTCTCTGCTTGTTGTAAATCATCATCAGATGTTTCCAGAACTGAATCAGTCTCTGCTTGTTGTAGAGCATCATCAGATGTTTCCAGAACTGAATCAGTCTCTGCTTGTTTATATAGAGCATCATCAGATGTTTCCAGAACTGAATCAGTCTCTGCTTGTTGTAGAGCATCATCAGATGTTTCCAGAACTGAATCAGTCTCTGCTTGCTGTAGAGCATCATCAGATGTTTCCAGAACTGAATCAGGATCTGCTTGTTGTAGATCATCATCAGATGTTTCCAGAACTGCATCAGTCTCTGCTTGTTAATATAGAGCATCATCAGATGTTTCCAGAACTGAATCACTGTCTGCTTGTTGTAAATCATCATCAGATGTTTCCAAAACTGAATCAGTCTCTGCTTGTTGTAAATCATCATCAGATGTTTCCAGAACTGCATCAGTCTCTGCTTGTTGTAGAGCATCATCAGATGTTTCCAGAACTGAATCAGTCTCTGCTTGTTGTAGAGCATCATCAGATGTTTCCAGAACTGAATCAGTCTCTGCTTGTTGTAGAGCATCATCAGATGTTTCCAGAACTGAATCAGTCTCTGCTTGTTGTAGAGCATCATCAGATGTTTCCAGAACTGCATCAGTCTCTGCTTGTTGTAGATCAGGGGCGGTGGGGTAGCCTAGTGGTTAAAGCGTTGGCTCGTCACGCCGAAGACCCGGGTTCGAATCCCCACGTGGGTACAATGTGTGAAGCCCATTTCTTGTGTCTCCCGCCGTGATGTTGCTGAAATATTGCTAAAAGTGGCGTAAAACCAAACTCAGTCAGTCAGTCAGTGTTGTAGATCATCATCACATGTTTCCAGAACTGCATCAGTTTCTGCTTGCTGTAGAGCATCATCAGATGTTTCCAGAACTGAATCAGTCTCTGCTTGTTGTAAATCATCATCAGATGTGTCCAGAACTGAATCAGTCTCTGCTTGTTGTAGATCCTCATCAGATGTTTCCAGAACTGCATCAGTCTCTGCTTGCTGTAGATCATCATCAGATGTTTCCAGAACTGAATCAGTCTCTGCTTGTTGTAGAGCATCATCAGATGTTTCCAGAACTGAATCAGTCTCTGCTTGTTGTAGATCCTCATCAGATGTTTCCAGAACTGAATCAGTCTCTGCTTGCTGTAGAGCATCATCAGATGTTTCCAGAACTGAATCAGTCTCTGCTTGTTAATATAGGGCATCATCAGATGTTTCCAGAACTGAATCAGTCTCTGCTTGTTGTAAATCATCATCAGATGTTTCCAGAACTGCATCAGTCTCTGCTTGTTGTAGATCATCATCAGATGTTTCCAGAACTGAATCAGTCTCTGCTTGTTAATATAGAGCATCATCAGATGTTTCCAGAACTGAATCAGTCTCTGCTTGTTGTAAATCATCATCAGATGTTTCCAGAACTGCATCAGTCTCTGCTTGTTGTAGAGCATCATCAGATGTTTCCAGAACTGAATCAGTATCTGCTTGTTGTAGAGCATCATCAGATGTTTCAAGAACTGAATCAGTCTCTGCTTGTTGTAAATCATCATCAGATGTTTCCAGAACTGAATCAGTCTCTGCTTGTTGTAGATCATCATCAGATGTTTCCAGAACTGAATCAGTCTCTGCTTGTTGTAGAGCATCATCAGATGTTTCCAGAACTGAATCAGTCTCTGCTGGTTAATATAGAGCATCATCAGATGTTTCCAGAACTGAATCAGTCTCTGCTTGTTGTAAATCATCATCAGATGTTTCAAGAACTGCATCAGTCTCTGCTTGCTGTAGAGCATCATCAGATGTTTCCAGAACTGAATTAGTCTCTGCTTGTTAATATAGAGCATCATCAGATGTTTCCAGAACTGAATCAGTCTCTGCTTGTTGTAAATCATCATCAGATGTTTCCAGAACTGCATCAGTCTCTGCTTGTTGTAGATCATCATCAGATGTTTCCAGAACTGCATCAGTCTCTGCTTGCTGTAGAGCATCATCAGATGTTTCCAGAACTGAATCAGTCTCTGCTTGTTGTAGAGCATCATCAGATGTTTCCAGAACTGAATCAGTATCTGCTTGTTGTAGAGCATCATCAGATGTTTCCAGAACTGAATCAGTCTCTGCTTGTTGTAAATCATCATCAGATGTTTCCAGAACTGAATCAGTCTCTGCTTGTTGTAAATCATCATCAGATGTTTCCAGAACTGAATCAGTCTCTGCTTGTTGTAGAGCATCATCAGATGTTTCCAGAACTGAATCAGTCTCTGCTTGTTGTAGAGCATCATCAGATGTTTCCAGAACTGAATCAGTCTCTGCTTGTTGTAGATCCTCATCAGATGTTTCCAGAACTGAATCAGTCTCTGCTTGCTGTAGAGCATCATCAGATGTTTCCAGAACTGAATCAGTCTCTGCTTGTTAATATAGGGCATCATCAGATGTTTCCAGAACTGAATCAGTCTCTGCTTGTTGTAAATCATCATCAGATGTTTCCAGAACTGCATCAGTCTCTGCTTGCTGTAGATCATCATCAGATGTTTCCAGAACTGAATCAGTCTCTGCTTGTTAATATAGAGCATCATCAGATGTTTCCAGAACTGAATCAGTCTCTGCTTGTTGTAAATCATCATCAGATGTTTCCAGAACTGCATCAGTCTCTGCTTGTTGTAGATCCTCATCAGATGTTTCCAGAACTGCATCAGTCTCTGCTTGTTGTAGATCATCATCAGATGTTTCCAGAACTGAATCAGTCTCTGCTTGTTGTAGAGCATCATCAGATGTTTCCAGAACTGAATCATTCTCTGCTTGTTGTAGATCCTCATCAGATGTTTCCAGAACTGAATCAGTCTCTGCTTGCTGTAGAGCATCATCAGATGTTTCCAGAACTGAATCAGTCTCTGCTTGTTAATATAGGGCATCATCAGATGTTTCCAGAACTGAATCAGTCTCTGCTTGTTGTAAATCATCATCAGATGTTTCCAGAACTGCATCAGTCTCTGCTTGCTGTAGATCATCATCAGATGTTTCCAGAACTGAATCAGTCTCTGCTTGTTAATATAGAGCATCATCAGATGTTTCCAGAACTGAATCAGTCTCTGCTTGTTGTAAATCATCATCAGATGTTTCCAGAACTGCATCAGTCTCTGCTTGTTGTAGATCATCATCAGATGTTTCCAGAACTGCATCAGTCTCTGCTTGTTGTAGAGCATCATCAGATGTTTCCAGAACTGCATCAGTCTCTGCTTGTTGTAGATCATCATCAGATGTTTCCAGAACTGAATCAGTATCTGCTTGTTGTAGAGCATCATCAGATGTTTCCAGAACTGAATCAGTCTCTGCTTGTTGTAAATCATCATCAGATGTTTCCAGAACTGAATCAGTCTCTGCTTGTTGTAGAGCATCATCAGATGTTTCCAGAACTGAATCAGTCTCTGCTTGTTGTAGAGCATCATCAGATGTTTCCAGAACTGAATCAGTCTCTGCTTGTTAATATAGGGCATCATCAGATGTTTCCAGAACTGAATCAGTCTCTGCTTGTTGTAAATCATCATCAGATGTTTCAAGAACTGCATCAGTCTCTGCTTGCTGTAGATCATCATCAGATGTTTCCAGAACTGAATTAGTCTCTGCTTGTTAATATAGAGCATCATCAGATGTTTCCAGAACTGAATCAGTCTCTGCTTGTTGTAAATCATCATCAGATGTTTCCAGAACTGCATCAGTCTCTGCTTGTTGTAGATCATCATCAGATGTTTCCAGAACTGCATCAGTCTCTGCTTGCTGTAGAGCATCATCAGATGTTTCCAGAACTGAATCAGTCTCTGCTTGTTGTAGAGCATCATCAGATGTTTCCAGAACTGAATCAGTATCTGCTTGTTGTAGAGCATCATCAGATGTTTCAAGAACTGAATCAGTCTCTGCTTGTTGTAAATCATCATCACATGTTTCCAGAACTGAATCAGTCTCTGCTTGTTGTAAATCATCATCAGATGTTTCCAGAACTGAATCAGTCTCTGCTTGTTGTAGAGCATCATCAGATGTTTCCAGAACTGAATCAGTCTCTGCTTGTTGTAAATCATCATCAGATGTTTCCAGAACTGAATCAGTCTCTGCTTGTTGTAGAGCATCATCAGATGTTTCCAGGACTGAATCAGTCTCTGCTTGTTGTAAATCATCATCAGATGTTTCCAGAACTGAATCAGTCTCTGCTTGTTGTAGAGCATCATCAGATGTTTCCAGAACTGAATCATTCTCTGCTTGTTGTAGATCCTCATCAGATGTTTCCAGAACTGAATCAGTCTCTGCTTGCTGTAGAGCATCATCAGATGTTTCCAGAACTGAATCAGTCTCTGCTTGTTAATATAGGGCATCATCAGATGTTTCCAGAACTGAATCAGTCTCTGCTTGTTGTAAATCATCATCAGATGTTTCCAGAACTGCATCAGTCTCTGCTTGCTGTAGATCATCATCAGATGTTTCCAGAACTGAATCAGTCTCTGCTTGTTAATATAGAGCATCATCAGATGTTTCCAGAACTGAATCAGTCTCTGCTTGTTGTAAATCATCATCAGATGTTTCCAGAACTGCATCAGTCTCTGCTTGTTGTAGAGCATCATCAGATGTTTCCAGAACTGCATCAGTCTCTGCTTGTTGTAGAGCATCATCAGATGTTTCCAGAACTGCATCAGTCTCTGCTTGTTGTAGAGCATCATCAGATGTTTCTAGAACTGAATCAGTATCTGCTTGTTGTAGAGCATCATCAGATGTTTCCAGAACTGAATCAGTCTCTGCTTGCTGTAGAGCATCATCAGATGTTTCCAGAACTGAATCAGTCTCTGCTTGTTAATATAGGGCATCATCAGATGTTTCCAGAACTGAATCAGTCTCTGCTTGTTGTAAATCATCATCAGATGTTTCCAGAACTGCATCAGTCTCTGCTTGCTGTAGAGCATCATCAGATGTTTCCAGAACTGAATTAGTCTCTGCTTGTTAATATAGAGCATCATCAGATGTTTCCAGAACTGAATCAGTCTCTGCTTGTTGTAAATCATCATCAGATGTTTCCAGAACTGCATCAGTCTCTGCTTGTTGTAGATCATCATCAGATGTTTCCAGAACTGAATCAGTCTCTGCTTGCTGTAGAGCATCATCAGATGTTTCCAGAACTGAATCAGTCTCTGCTTGTTGTAGAGCATCATCAGATGTTTCCAGAACTGAATCAGTATCTGCTTGTTGTAGATCCTCATCAGATGTTTCAAGAACTGAATCAGTCTCTGCTTGTTGTAGAGCATCATCAGATGTTTCCAGAACTGAATCAGTCTCTGCTTGTTGTAAATCATCATCAGATGTTTCCAGAACTGCATCAGTCTCTGCTTGTTGTAGATCCTCATCAGATGTTTCCAGAACTGAATCAGTCTCTGCTTGTTGTAAATCATCATCAGATGTTTCCAGAACTGAATCAGTCTCTGCTTGTTGTAGAGCATCATCAGATGTTTCCAGGACTGAATCAGTCTCTGCTTGTTGTAAATCATCATCAGATGTTTCCAGAACTGAATCAGTCTCTGCTTGTTGTAGAGCATCATCAGATGTTTCCAGAACTGAATCTCTGCTTGATGTACTGAAGGGTGTATTTAAGTGAGGTATAATGATATTAGAGGGAGACAGTAGGGAGGGAAGAAACACAAAGTCCATTGTGGGAATCCGACTATTTCAAAATTACTAGTATCCATTAGTGTCATCCGTCAAAACCAGTCAGAAGCAGAGCTTAGTCAACCCACAATGATACCTTCTCATTGCCTGAATGTTTCCACAATACTTTAGGAATAGTCAGGTTACCCAGACGTTCATGTTATTTCAGGTATATTCTTATTACCTCAGATTTATTCGTGTTACTGCCTCTGATATATGTGTTACTTCACCTGTATTCATGTTACCCCAGATATGTTCGCATGTTACTTTGCATAATGATGATATTGCATGTGTATTGATGTTACTGTTGGTTACTATGTGTTTATCCAGGTTGTGTAGGTTATGTGCACTTTTAAATACACTGTAGAGGGATATACTGTGAGTCTGCTCACATTACTGACAGTGGTCCCATGTTTCCGCAGGTATATCCGTCTTGTTGCAGGGATATGGGTACATATGCAGGGTGACAGCAGTCCCGAATTTGACAAAAACGGCTACGTGATCGGTACAGACAGTTCGGGTACATTTCTCAGTGATATCAAGGAGGTGCTTGACATGGGCCAGAAATACAACATCCTCGTGTTCTTCTGCCTCTGGAACGCGGCCGTTAAGTTTAAGTTTGAATACCGGATGGATGGTCTGATTCGGGATACCGGGAAACTCACGTCCTACCTGGAACATGCCCTCATCCCGTGGGTCAAGTCTGTGAAAGACCACCCGGCAATTGGAGGCTGGGACATTATGAATGAACCCGAGGGCCTCATCAACACGCAGAGAAGCAGCAGTAATCCTTGCTTGAATGCAACCCATCTCATACCGGATGGAGCCGGCTGGTCTGGGAAACTTTACAACTATGAAGATGTTCTCAGGTTTGTTTTAAAGGATGGTACAACTGATAGATTTTGTCGCTTGTTTTTTTATGTCAGTTGTTAACGCCACAATCAGCAATAGTCAAGCTGTAATTTGGCGGTTCTGAAAACAATATTCTGGGCCAGACAATCCAGTGATAAATCTTGAGCGTCGATCCCTGCAAGGGGATATCCTGGTATGCATCAACTAAGTGTGCGGCCCTCACTACCCGATCCCGTTATTGAACAAACATGTGTTTCTGGGATCTTCTCACTCGGGTCAAATTGTATGAGTGGTAGGTGAGTATAGGGCTGTGATGACAGTGTCATATATTAATGTCGTGTGAATATGCGCAGGTTCATCAACTGGCAGGTCGACGCCATCAGACAAACAGACCCTGGTGCTCTTGTGACGGTGGGATCATGGAAGCCACAGGCCAATACGGACGAGTACGGCTCTCATAACCACTACTCGGATCATTGTCTGACTCAGTCAGGAGGCAAGCCACAGGTCAGATTTACATATACTATGTTATGGTTAGGTGCACGCTGTCCACAGCCATAGGTCATCTGTATCACATCTGGAGACCAACCTTGGGGTGGATTCAGTCTCGGCCTGTTGTAGATACTGTTGGTTGGTTGTTTAACGACGCCATCTACAGTATTATAGCTCTGCGACAGCAGCGTGTCAATCCAGCCAATAAAGTGATTGATGTAACAAGCAACCATTCAAGCTGTCTGGTACCATAACACGCAGCCCATCGCCACAACGAACTTGACCACCGGTTTAGTTTGGTAACCTTGGTAACCTCTCACGAATACCATTGCCCATGTGGTACTGCTGTAAGCAGGAACCTGACGTGGCTGTACCTACAACAGCAAATACACCTGAGTGGCTGTGTGGTACCAGTTGTAACCAGGAACCTGACGTGGCTGTATGGTACCAGTTGTAACCAGGAACCTGACATGGCTGGGTGGTACCAGTTGTAGCCAGGAACCTGGCGTGGCTGTATGGTACCAGTTGTAACCAGGAACCTGACGTGGCTGTATGGTACCAGTTGTAACCAGGAACCTGACGTGGCTGTATGGTACCAGTTGTAGCCAGGAACCTGACGTGGCTGGGTGGTACCAGTTGTAGCCAGGAACCTGACGTGGCTGTATGGTACCAGTTGTAACCAGGAACCTGACGTGGCTGTATGGTACCAGTTGTAACCAGGAACCTGACGTGGCTGGGTGGTACCAGTTGTAGCAGGAACCTGACGTGGCTGGGTGGTACCAGTTGTAGCCAGGAACCTGACGTGGCTGTATGGTACCAGTTGTAGCCAGGAACCTGACGTGGCTGTATGGTACCAGTTGTAACCAGGAACCTGACGTGGCTGTATGGTACCAGTTGTAACCAGGAACCTGACGTGGCTGTGTGGTACCAGTTGTAGCCAGGAACCTGACGTGGCTGTATGGTACCAGTTGTAGCCAGGAACCTGACGTGGCTGTATGGTACCAGTTGTAACCAGGAACCTGACGTGGCTGTACCTACAACAGCCAATACACCTGGGTGGCTGTGTGGTACCAGTTGTAGCCAGGAACCTGACGTGGCTGTTCCTACAACAGCCAATACACCTGGGTGTATGATACAACTGAGTGTTTGACACACCTGAGTGTATGACACACCTGAGTATATGATACACCTGAGTGTATGACACACCTGAGTGTATGATACACCTGAGTGTATGACACACCTGGGTGTATGACACACTTGAGTAGTGTATGATACACCTGAGTGTATGACCTGTTGAAGGTGTTATTGTTTCAGGGAGTGCTGCAGTTCTATGAGATGCACTCTTACAGCTCCCACGGACAGTTTGACTACCTCTCGCCATTCAAGGTAACGCCCTCTTTTGTCCAAACTCAGGTACTATATCCAAGGTCACTATCATTGGATAAGGGTTTTACTGTAATTACAGGTGATGTGTAAAGCACTAAGCCGTATAACACTGCCTTATGTACAAACCAACATCATCCCATACACCTGTGCCCTTTCTCCTGACAAACTGGATAGTCGCATAATATATTTTATGTGCGCTACAATTACGTGCGCATCGCATATGTTTAACCTGATGTGGTGCAGCTGACGAGTGGTGTCCATCTCGGCTAGTATCAACAATTACAGGAATTTGGGCGTTTACATATGCAAGATTTGACGTGTAAGCCGGGTACCCCATTGTTATCTGTTAATCATGGGAGAGCATTGTTATGGTAGGGTTGACTAACGTTTAGTCTCTGAAACTAATATAATTGAAAAGGAGCCCCAGTGCGATGTGAAATTCAGAACATGACTAAATCTAGACTTGCTTCATTTAGGGCTTTAGCATTGCAGGGGGACTAAACAGTAGGGAAAATAATGTGGTTCGGGGACTGTGAGACAGACTAATGATAGGATGACCATTGATACCTGTTGGTTCTGTAACGTAAGGCACAAAACAGTGTACAACCACGGGTACTTGACTATCATGTCATGTCAAGTTCTATTACTCTCAAAACGCAAAATGAATTTACTTCGCTGGGTTTCAAACTACAAGCCATTCTTACGTTACAATTTATTAGTCTTGATTCATTGGCGTGTTCCTCGTTCATCACGGTGTTCATTGACTTCATCTTAGTATTCGTCATTCTTATGATTGTGTTCATCCTTGTGTTCATCCTTGTGTTCATCAATGTGTTCATCAATGTGTTCATCCTTGTGTCCATCCTTGTGTTCATCCTTGTGTTCATCAATGTGTTCATCCTTGTGTTCATCAATGTGTTCATCCTTGTGTTCATCAATGTGTCCATCCTTACATCCTTGTGTTCATCCTTGTGTCCATCCTTGTGTTCTTCCTTGTGTTCATCCTTGTGTTCATCCTTGTGTCCATCCTTGTGTTCATCCTTGTGTTCATCAATGTGTTCATCCTTGTGTTCATCAATGTGTTCATCCTTGTGTTCATCCTTGTGTTCGTCAATGTGTTCATCCTTGTGTCCATCCTTGTGTTCACCCTTGTGTTCATCCTTGTGTTCATCAATGTGTCCATCCTTGTGTTCATCTTTGTGTTCATCCTTGTGTTCATCAATGTGTTCATCCTTGTGTTCACCAATGTGTTCATCCTTGTGTTCATCAATATGTTCATCATTGTGTTCATCCTTGTGTCTATCCTTGTGTTCATCGTTGTGTTCATCAATGTGTTCATCAATGTGTTCATCCTAGTGTTCATCCTTGTGTTCACCAATGTGTTCATCCTTGTGTTCATCAATGTGTCAATCCTTGTGTTCATCCTTGTGTTCATCAATGTTTCCATCCTTGTGTTCATCCTTGTGTTCATCCTTGTGTTCACCAATGTGTTCATCCTTGTGTCCATCCTTGTGTCCATCCTTGTGTTCATCCTTGTGTTCATCATCCTTGTGTTCATCAATGTGTCCATTCTTGTGTTCATCCTTGTGTTCATCAATGTGTTCATCTTTATGTTCATCCTTGTGTTCATCAATGTGTTCATCCTTGTGTCCATCCTTGTGTTCATCCTTGTGTTCATCCTTGTTTTCATCCTTGTGTTTATCAATGTGTCCATCCTTGTGTTCATCCTTGTGTTCACCAATGAGTTCATCCTTGTGTTCATCCTTGTATCCATCAATGTGTTCATCCTTGTGTTCATCAATGTGTCCATCCTTGTGTTCATCCTTGTGTTCATCAATGTGTCCATCCTTGTGTTCATCCTTGTGTTTATCAATGTGTTCATCCTTTTGTTCATCCTTGTGTCCATCCTTGTGTTCATCCTTGTGTACATCATCCTTGTGTTCATCATCCTTGTGTTCATCAATGTGTCCATCTTGGAGTGCACTGTGTCCTATCTCCCCCAGCACGAAAAGAGTGACTACAAGCTGAACAAGCCAGTGATAGTGGGTGAGTTTGCCGCCCGGTCTGGGGGCGGGATGGCCATTGAGGCACTGTTCCAGTACGCCTATGACCATGGCTACCGAGGGGCGTGGAGCTGGTCTGCTACTGACAGCTATTATGGCGATCTATGGGAGACTCAAAGGAAAGGGGTGGCATCAATCAGATACAGCAATGACACATCCACGGGAACGGTACAGCTGACCGTGTAATGTGAAGAATAAAATCTAACCTGGCCGGTCTTCCCTGCAGCTATATGTGTTGTCTTATTGGTGGCCTTCACGTGAATCACGTGGGGAAATACTGTGGTTGTGTATTTTTAATGGAGAAGGTGTTTCCTGACAGCTTGTGTTGCTGTGACGTCAGAACACGTGTTCCATAATAGGATGACGTCAGTGAAAATGTTGCTTTGTAGAACATTTGGGTGAATGTTTTCCCCTTCAAAATGACGGATGTGAATGTGTTTTCCTGTAGAATGACGGAAGTGAATGTGTTTTCCTGTAGAATGACGAAAGTGAATGTGTTTTCCTGTAGAATGACATAAGTGAATGTGTTTTCCTGTAGAATGACATAAGTGAATGTGTTTTCCTGTAAAATGACGGAAGTGAATGTGTTTCCCTGTAGAATGCCATAAGTGAATGTGTTTTCCTGTAGAATGACATAAGTGAATGTGTTTTCCTGTAAAATGACGGAAGTGAATGTGTTTTCCTGTAGAATGACGAAAGTGAATGTGTTTTCCTGTAGAATGACGGAAGTGAGTGTGTTTTCCTGTAAAATAACGGAAGTGAGTGTGTTTTCCTGTAGAATGACATAAGTGAATGTGTTTTCCTGTAAAATGTCGGAAGTGAATGTGTTTTCCTGTAGAATGACGAAAGTGAATGTGTTTTCCTGTAGAATGACATAAGTGAATGTGTTTTCCTGTAAAATGACGGAAGTGAATGTGTTTCCCTGTAGAATGACATAAGTGAATGTGTTTTCCAGTAGAATGACATAAGTGAATGTGTTTTCCTGTAAAATGACGGAAGTGATTGTGTTTTCCTGTAGAATGACGGAAGTGAATGTGTTTTCCTGTAGAATGACGGAAGTGAGTGTGTTTTCCTGTAAAATAACGGAAGTGAGTGTGTTTTCCTGTAGAATGACATAAGTGAATGTGTTTTCCTGTAAAAAACGGAAGTGAATGTGTTTCCCTGTAGAATGACATAAGTGAATGTGTTTTCCTGTAAAATGACGAAAATGAATATGTTCCCATGTTGAATGTCAAAATTAACCCGTGAAGAACCGCGTTACAACTGGGCTTCAGCAACCCATGCTTGTCGTAAGAGGCGATTAAAGGTCACATAAACCCTAGGGGGTTCAAATACATACATCACTAACTGGCATCGTTATAAATGAAACCCCGTCATTAAAACTACTCATTTCGACCTTTAATTGACTTAAATCGACCTTTTTGACAACAGTGCACAATTCTCACCCGCGAACGAAATTTCAACCAATCAGAGCGGCGCGACTCTGTGACGTCATATGAGGAATAGCTTTGAGGGCCGATGCAGAATTCATCTACATTTTAGGGGGTAAATTAGCGTGTTTACAGGCTTGTATAAACCTGAAATCGTGACAATTGTTGTGGAAAATGAAAGCTATATGTTCTCACAATCTACTGGCATTTAATTTTGTCTCCTGCTTTGCCTAGTTTCCGAGTTACAACTTGTTTTCATAGACGATTCTGTCAAAATCGATTGGTGTCGTTAGGCCCTATTTGTATAATGACTGATCCAAATTGATCCCATTTCTGTGTTGTTTTACCTCGATATTTAATCATGTCATGTAAAAATCTGTTTGTATTCTCAAAACAGTGTCGGCCCATAAGTTTTCACATGCAATACAGCAATTAATACTCCCTCGTTGTAACCCGTGTTAGGTGGTATAAACCTACACATGTTATTTGTCATCATTCACTTGATGGTCAGTTAATGAATTTATAACAGGTATAATTAGTGGTAACACACTTAGATTACCCGACAAAGGTTCCCATTTGGCATTTCTTGTGTCTGGAGTAAATATTCAACATTATAAACATCGATCAAAGGATTAACCGATAACACGCTGATTGATTAATTACTTTTATCTTACACAGCGGATTTGTCAAAAGGTAGTGTTTATGTATGTAGATTTACTAATCTATACTGAATACACTCTGTCGTGTCGGTATCTGCGTAAAAACAACGTCCTTCTTTCAAAGGATTAACCAGCAATACATTGATTGATTGCCCATTATTGGCTAACTAAATTACTGTTTTTAAAGAAAGGCGGACATTATGCAATTAGTTGCCAGGTGTGCTATCTTGGGTGACCAATGAGACTATACACCAATACCTGAAAAGATTTATCACTTTTTCGTATATTAAACTGTTAAAAGACACATCATTTGGAACAGTTTTGTGGATATTGATGGATACATTCCTCGAACAAGGTAATGGCCTGATATTGTTCCTATAACTTTAATCTGTTTTAATTTTAATATTTGCATTTTGTTTTTATTCATTTGTCGTAGCATTCAACAGAATCATTGTTTTCGCCGTGAAGTGTAATGAGACAGACAACATGCACTAGGGTGTGTGTGCGAATTATGATTCACATTGGCAAACTATAAAATGTCTAGATATTACAGTTCTGTTATAAATTTACTATAAGTATCAGCAGATCGTCTTCTTTTTTATTTAGTTTCAAAATGCATAAAAGTATGATAATAAACTAATTAGGATTATAAGACCAAATATAAAGACGCACATTGACTAGTATCTACATACTGGTGAGTGGACATTAACCATGGGAATGTAGCAAGAAATGTATCGCGCAGTATTGTGACTTCGACCCCCACCTCGCTTCCGTGGAAGAAATCGTTATGTTATAAGTTGTGTCATGCAAAATCCGTTTGGTTATGATTCCAATACATATTTAACAACGAGTAGAAAGTAGTCTTGATTTTCTAACTTGATGAAAACAAACTATAATCTCATTAATTCTAACAGATTTTTTTATTGTTAAAAATGGCGGCGCCCTGTCGGGAACATCCGCCAGTCTGAAGATGAATGGTATTGAGGTTTGTTTTCACCGAGTTACAAAATCAAAACTACTTTCTACTGGTAGTAAAATATGTATTTTATTGATGGCCAATAGGATTTTGCATGACATAGCGTATATCATAACAATTTCTCTCGTGGCAGCGAGGTGGGTGTCAATATAATACTACTTACAATATTATTGTTACTTCGACCACAACCTCACTTCCGAGGAAGAAATCGTTATGTTAACTTGTAACATAGAAAATCTTTATGGTCATCAATCATATGCATATTTTACTACAACTAGTAAGTAGTTTTGATTCTTTAACTTCCGTGAAGCGATCTGAACACAAGTAAGATATCGTTTCAGGCTTCCACAACGCTCGCTTCGCACTAACAAACATAACCCATTTAGCACGAACTGCGGGGGTCCTGTGGAAATCTGTGCATGGGGACACCATCGCCCGACCCCTAGGAGCAATTGACGACAAAGCAACGATTCGGCATGTCGTCGTGGATGTCGAGAAATCATCAAAATGATGAGCGTACACATTTTCTATACACATTTTCTATACAACTAACTGAAAATCGTTCGTTCATATGACGTCACTGCAGTGCTCTGGCGACATAAGTTACGTAACCACAAATCTTTCATATGTGGTTTCGTAACAAAAACAAAGTTTAGGGCTTTAAAGGAAGCAGGCGACTTTTGGCCAATTTTAATCGCTCGGTATTAATTAACCACAAGATTTTTAAAGAATAAATTTGGTGTTCCGCATAAGACTAACCACAAATCTACCTTATTTTCATATGTAATGGTTGTGAAAGATTTAACAAAAACAAAGTTTAGTATTAAAATTCATTTTTATATTATGAAAATACATTGTTTAGAAATTCGTAGCTATTTTATGATCAGTTACGTATAAGAAAACATCTTAAGCTTACTTAATGTAGAAAGCCAATAGTTTCAAACTCAATCTAAAAGCACTTGAGCTGTTCTGTAAACGAACACAATGTGTCATTGTGCATAATCAAGTCTATATCAACAACAACAAACAACAACTGCAGCAGGGTGGTGTTAAGCATTACTTTAGTATGTCGAAAAGATGACATATATTTTCCATCCGTGAAGGTCTGGGTTAGAATGAACCTTCAGTAACCCATGCTTGTCGTAAGAGGCGACTAACGGGATCGGGTGGTCAGGCCCGCTGGCTTGGTTGACACATGTCATCGGTTCCCAATTGCGCAGGTCGATGCTCATGCTGTTGATCACTGGTTTGTCTGGTCAAGACTCGATTATTTACAGACCGCCGCCATATAGACGGATATTGCTGAGTGCGGCGTAAAACTAACGATCACATTTGGCCAAGACATGTTTTTTTACGCAGTTGAGATAATTTTTATCAGAGTGTCTGAATCCTGCGCCCACTCCAATTTTTCTTTTTCCTAATATCGCACATAACGCCCGTCGATCGGGAACAAGTCTCCTGCCCCAAAGGGACAGAATCCGGATAACCGCTTTTGTTCGGATGTTTCCGGATGTGATCGAGACACGTGATCAACTTACCGCCAAATCTGACAGGTGACAGATCAAGACTGAACACAGAGAGGCACAGTCTAAACCATCTGAACCCCCTATCGCCAAGCGTACGCTAGAAGGTAAGCGCATGTTGCTTGGCTTGCATAAGAATGGTGTTGTCAACAGGATGAAGTCTAGTTTGCTTGTCAGAATACACATTTCGCATGATATTGACAAGGAGATAGAACTGATGAATGTGTCATGTCATATCTTAAGCTTAACAAACAGCAGTAGGTCGCGAAGGGATTTAAGCTTTTTCAACGGTCATTAGAGAAGTACTCCATTTCCTGCCATAAACCAATCATGTGAATGTGAAGACTATATTTATGTGAAGGGTGTTGTATTGTGTCCTCTAGCTATGTGCTTGGGGCTTGTTTGTAATCGTAACACCCGCATGCCTCGCACCCGGCGTACTGCGTGTACATTTCATGGTGTTGATTGCAGCGTGATGGTTAACCAATCCATCAATCACTGTCGCTGGTTGCGTGGTAACACTAAAGCAACGCCCTCGTGGCCCTGAGTGGCTGATAGTTCATATACAGTCTCTCAGCTTATTTATATATGTGTTGAGCTATCATTATGCATACATATGTGCCCATTTATTGTGTTTACATTCATGCACATTAAAACGAATACACAATGACATTTGGAAAGTGGTCAAATGTAACATGTAATATTTATGGGATTACACTTTATCATCCAAAACTGTGTTCCACAGGAGATATCGTTTTGACAGTAGATTTTGTACAATGCTATGAAGTCATGTACTTGATGACGTCACAATGCTATGACATCGCTGCACTGCAAGTCTAATGGCAGCACCATGTTCAGAGATGTACATTTTTCATTGAAAATTAATGAAGAGTGATTTTGGATGATAAATAGAATCTCACCCTTGTGTCTTCTGATATCAAATATATCAACACTCGTTGATAAAAGTAAAAATATCCTCGGCAAGCCTCGGATATTTGTAACTTTATCAACTCGTGTTGATATAATTGATATCAGAAGACACTTGGGTGAGATTCTCTATTTCTCAGTACAGTACAGATTTGAAGCCGCTGTGGCTGAGCAGGTTAGGCGGCTGACTTTGTGTGCTGGCGATTACGTGCCTGAGTCTGAGGGTGTGGGTTCGAATCCCGAATGGGACTCAACCCAAGAAAAGTACTAGGATCTGTACTTTACTGAGAAAGTGTAATCCCAAATGTAATATGTGTTACACATTAAGATTGGTGTATATTCTGGAGGCTTTTTTTTTTTGTAAGTATGTATTACTGACTGACTGAGTTTGGTTTTACGCCGCTTTTAGCAATATTCCAGCAATATCACGGCGGGGGACGCCAGAAATGGGCTTCACTCATTGTACCCATGTGGGGATTCGAACCCGGGTCTTCGGCGTGACGAGCCAACGCTTTAACCGCTAGACTACCCCACCGCCCCGTAAGTATGTATTAAGCATGCGAGATTGTTGGATATAAGGCTTCAGTCTGTCTGGGTTTATGTGTTTGTACTTTAGGTATTATATGTAATAACTATTGCTTGTTCTACCCATATGTGCTGTGTAACATATTATCATTTTGCTTTGGACTTTGACAGTAAAGTACGAGGACGTTCGCGTCATTTCGCGTAGGGAATACTTAGACTGATCTTGCGTTTTGCTGAACATGGGTTTAAAATCCAAGTCAAATCTGTAAGAAGCGGTACTGGCTGTTCCACCTGCTTGACTGAACATTTCCAGGTGCAATCGAGGCACGTGAACCGCCACATCAGAATCACATCGTGGATACTGAACGACATGGACAGACGTGATTTCGTTCCCTGCAGATTGAGGGACGTGATTCCGTTCCCTGTAGCCAGACGAGCTGGATTGCATTGCGTTGCGTTCCCTGTAGATGGATTGTGTTCCCTGTAAACTGACGGACTAGACTGCGTTCCTTGTAGACTGACTTGATTGTCTTCCCTGTAGAGTGAGAAAGTAGACTGCGTTACGTCTCCATAGAATAATGGATTAGACTGCGTTCCCTGTAGAATGCCGGAGTTGACAACGTTCCCTGTAGAATGCCGGGGTTGACAACGTTCCCTGTAGAATGCCGGAGTTGACAACGTTCCCTGTAGACTAACGGACTTGATTGCGTTGCGTTGCGTTCCCTGTAGACAGACGAGCTGGATTGTGTTCCAAGTAACACGCCATAAGGGAGGAATTTTACCTGATGTCCAAATATCATCAAAATATTTAAAAGAGTTTCTAGACAAGATTCTGGTAAGTGCTTCAGGAGTTGATAATGTATGTTATCAGCCTCTGTAGCAGTATCGTGAGCTTGTTAAAGAGCAGTATCGAGTCCATGAATAGAATATAGTTCATTGTAATCTTCCCAATTATTTAATTTGAAATTAATGATGTTCTTTTCTTGTTGCTTTTGATATTGTTGGAATGTAGGAACATAATTAGAAGAGGAAGAGTGTTTAGCGAGAGTTTCACCAAGTTTATTCGCAATATCTGATTTATCTGTAAGTAATTGGTCTCCATGTATAAGATGATGGACGCTAGATTTAGTACCTTTACCTTTAATTTTCTGTACCATGTTCCATACTTTGGACATGGGCGTTCGAGATTTCATTTTGGATACATAATGTTGCCAAAATTGGCGTTTATTCTGTTTAAATGTATTTAAAATTTAAAATTTGTTAAAATTATGCACCATAGGGTGGCCAGGGAAATAACGTTCTGCTTCTTTCCTTGCCTTCCTAGCTTGTTTGCACTCATCGTTGAACCAAGGTTTTCGAATATGTGGAATTGCAGAGGGACTGTGGTATGCACTCATCAGCTATGATGTTCAGTTCAACAGAAAAACATTTGATAGCATCAGGAACGTCAATAAAAAGTTCAGGTTTAAATTTTGTAGCACACAGTGTTTCATATAGAGCCAAGTAAGCCTTTTTAAATTTCCGTCTTGATGATGGAGGAACGTCAGATGGAGTTACAGATTTTAGTATAGTAGGAAAATGGTCACTTCCACAGAGGTCATCGTGGACTGACCATTCGAATTCATTCAGTAGTTCTGAATTTGTAACTGACAAGTCGAGAGCAGAATATGTTCCTGTGCCAGGGTGTAAATATGTGTTGGATCCATCATTACAAATACATAAATCATTATCTGAACAAAACTCCTCCAGTATTTTACCTTTGGCGTTTGTAGTTGTACCACCCCATAGTGGATTGTGGCCATTTAAATCTCCCATAATAATGCACGGTTTCGGGAGTTGGTCATATACAGCTTGAAGATCGGTTTTGTGTAACGTTGAAGACGGAGAGATATATAAAGAGCATAATGTAAACGCAACGTGTAAAGTAAGTCGTACTGCAACAGCCTGCTGTTTAGTAGTAAGTGAAACAAGGCTATGGATGACGTTCTGTTTGACTAGGATTGAAGATCCTCCAGTGGCCCTATCACCCGGAGGTGAAAAACAATGATATGCATTGAAAGAACGCAGGACAAAAGCATCTATCTGTTTTAAATAGGTCTCCTGCAGACAGAACGCTGATGGTGTTAAATCATGGATTAAAAACTGCAATTCATTGAAATTAGTCCTGTCCTCTGCAATTCCACTGTATAATATTATTCTGATAACCTATCTTTTGGGGGGATTCATTGGGGATCTACTCCGCACTTTTTGGGTGGGCGACAAGCTGTGTGCCCTAGAACGGACGTTTTCGGATACGTCCATATCTTCTAGAGATCCATATTTGTTGAATAACTGAATTTTATTTTCTGACCCTTTTGGGGCTCTGCCACTTGGCTTTTGCGATAATTCTGGCTCTTTACCTTTGGTTTTAACGATTTGTTGTTACCACAGTGAGCACACACAACAGACAATGTGCAAGTATTGACGCCATGACCGAACTTTTGGCATTTGAAACATCTCAGTCGATTTGGTGTGTATGTTTCAACTTTGACGTGACAGTAACCTGCCTTTATGCACTTTGGAGCAATCGGAGTGGAAAATAAAACTGATAGGTATTGGTTTTTTGGATTTCGTTATTTTTCCGTGTTGTGAAGCGTTTAACGTATATAACACCTTGTTCTTTCATTTCGGAGACAATATCTATTTCCATCATGTCAGTGAAAAGTCTATCCCGATCTCTCACTATGCCTTTGCTGGTGTTGAGCGTTCTATGAGCAGAGACTGACACGGGAATGCCGATAAATGATTTAGTTGACAGGAGGTTAGTCGCTTGATGACTCTTACTACATTCAACTAGAAGAGCACCTGTCCGTAAACGTAAACGTTTAACGCTTCTAACGTCTCCTGCAATGCCTTGTATCCCTTTCGATACAGCAAAAGGGTTCAGCTTTAAAGGTGTTTTGTCAACGGTCTCAATTACAAAAAAACGTGGCCAGTAGTCAATTGATGTGGGCAGTCTTTGGTCGTTATCTTCAGGATCAGTATCGAGTGGACGTTTTGTTTTCTTATGGGGAGTTTCATAAGCCATAGTTAGTGTTTAATGGTTCACCATCCGAGCTCTCCACTCACCACGGAGTATCACAAGGACAATGCTAAAAACAAGCGGGCTTGCAGCACCAAGGATACCCGGATGATATACTCCAGCAGAAAAAACAAAAGATTAATTCTTCCACCAGATTGGCCCATGAGCCACCGCCTTCTGGGCATAAGACTCTAGGCAAAGATCATAATAAACAAGTCAAATGCTGTTATATAAACAAAGGGCACCAAGACCAAAATTTATACAATTCCAAATCAAATTGTGTGCAAAAAATCAATGCACAGGGCTTGGCATGACCAGCCGATTGGTTGAACCGGGCCCATTCAACCACCCGTCTAGGTGAAGTAAGGGGCGAAGTGGTGTGTTGGGCCATAGTTAGTGTTTAATGGTTCACCATCCGAGCTCTCCACTCACCACGGAGTATCACAAGGACAATGCTAAAAACAAGCGGGTTTCCAGCTTGCAGCACCAAGGATACCCGGATGATATACTCCAGCAGAAAAACCAAAAGATTTGGGCAAAGGAACACTGTTCCTGGACCTAGTGCCCTCAACCACCAGACTCCTGTCCTCCACCGACACAGGGGCGCAACCCACGGCCAACAGGTTGTTGGACCAAATATACCCCCGGGTCCACAACGGGGGTTGAAGAGCTCTTAGCGTTACCTAGCACCCACCACGAGGAGGTGGCTCTTCACGGGTGCCTTGGATCAGACTTGATTTGATTACGTCGACCTGTTTAGGACAAAAGTCGATGTGTTCGCCTTGGGATGACGGACGGGGTTATGATCTCCTGTAAAATGACGGAAGTGGACATTGTCTTCTGTTGAGTGATGACGAATGTACTTAGTGTGTATCAATCAGCTGGGAGGAAGTGGGGCGAGGTTCTGAGTTTCAAACGTTCGTCTGACAACACGGAATCAGTTTAGTTTCGATGAAATTCTCAATTTTAACATGATCCTCGACACTCCTATTTCATTTCACACGTCCAGTTCAACCCTCGTTGAGAACGCGGAAACGGGGCTGATGTAACCGGGTTGTTTTATTTCTTTGTACAGAATCGAACATGTAAAGTACGAATTTTAATGTGTCATTAGGTGCATGGATTAACATTAACTACGCCACTCCAGCCACTGCGTTCATATCTGTACCGTATTTAAAATCTTGAGAGTTACTAGAACAGAAAGCGCTGATTTCGCCATACCCGTGAAGATCAGGGTCAGAACTGGTCTTCAGTAACCCATGCTTGTCATAAAAGGCAACTAACGGGATCGAGTAGTCAGGCTCGCTGACTTGGTTGATACGTGTCATCGTATCCTAATTGCCTTGATCTATGAGACTCAGATTATTTACAGACCGCCGCAATATAGCTGTAATATCGCTGAGTGCGGCGTTAAACAACCAACCAACCAACCAACCATACCCAACATGTTTGTATTAGACATGCAATTCAGTGACAACGTCGGAAGGCGCCACCCCAAACACCATGATTGACTCGCTCTTTTGGGGGAAGACTAGTATAAGGAATACGTTGCCGTTCCCGTTATATTTCCCCTTACTATTGCAGTTACCGGTAATAATATTATTTCAATATCGTTATTTTGTTTACTTTCAGAAGTATTGTGCATGGACTATTTACAGTTCAACCCGGAAACATTTTTCCAGTGTGCGGGCTGGCAGTCGGATTGCATCGTCGGGTCAAGATGTCGAATGGAACGTATTCCGAGGCGAATATTTCTGCCATTTTGGAAAGGTTAAACGGTGAATATGCTGACAAAATGGTGTGGCCCATTACGTTCCTGTCGGTGGTGATGTGCACAGGCGCCTGTGGGAACGTCGTGGTGGCCAGTGTGTATTTCTGTGCTCGACGGAAGAGTGTAATTAACCTACTGATTGGAACACTTGCAGTCCTTGACCTGATCAACAGTTTATGCAGTATCCCTGCAGAGATTGTGCATCTACGATTTAAGTACACCCTCGGTAGATATGTCTACTGGTGTAAAGGTAGCCGAGTGCTAATAGCCTTTACAATCTTTGCCCCATGTGGCATATTGATCGTCATCGCAATAGACCGTTACAAACAGATATGCAAACCGTTCAAACACCAAACAAGCCCAGCGCTAGCAAGAACTGCTCTCGGCATATGCTGCCTATTGGCCATGTGTATTGCAACGCCTGCTTGGTTCCTGAACGGGAAGAGAACAGTCCTTATGAACGCGATTCCAGGATCCGAGTGTACCATCTCCGACGAGCATAAAGACGGACCATTTCCGATTGTTTACAATTCCGTGTTGTTTTCTCTATACTTAAGTGGATGTACAGTGCTAATTGTGCTGTACACACTAATATGGAAACGTCTCCAGGTTCAGCAGAAGTTCAGAAGAGCACTAGGAAGAAGTTTCCGGCGTATGAGATACTCTAGGGCAACACGGAGTCTCTCAGCGAAGCCGATCGATGTGATAATGGATTCATCATCTTCACCGCCGCCGCAACCGACACCCATGACGAACACATCACCACCAGCGTCAACGTCTGGATCCTCATCGTCAATTAGCTGTACAGATTCTATGGTAAGTCTTAGATATGTCTTAGATGCTTGTTCATCGAGATATTTCAAAGAGTGTCACGCCACTTTAACTAAAACTCCCCAGGTTTCAGTAAAACTTTAAAGGGCATAGATAATGTAGAGGGCATGGAGAATGTAGTGGACATTTTCAAACGTTCGAAGCAGTTCCCTATGTGGAGAAGCATATGTTGCCATGTTTACCCAGATAAACACTGAACTTGCCTTGGTCTGTGTTTGTGACATCGACGAGCCAGGATACGTTTGCCATTCGCGAACCTCTGGGATCATTACCCGGTATTATCATCACATCACCATGACACCGCCATGTATAGTTGACAGTACAACCAGGCCTATGTTGCGCATAACATTATCAAATATTACGAAAACTGTTCTCGTGAAGTTCTCGGTTATGTTACTTCATTACTCAATACTTGCGTTCTTGTTGCAGAATGAGGAGCCACTGGAACGCTCCATTCTGCAAACAGTCCCCAAACCAAAGGTCCAGGCGAAGACGAAGGCTGGTTCAAGTGCTGTTACCAAGGCAACGCTGGTAATGTTCCTTGTAACGGTCATCTTCATCCTCAGTTTCCTGCCGTATCTGACAATCGCCACGCTGAAATACTTCAATAGACGCACCTTGCATCACGTTGACGATGTAAGGTCTGTGGTCTACCAATTCTTCTTGAAGTTTCATCACGTGAACAGTGCATGTAATCCCATTGTGTACAGCTTCTGTGGCCGGCAGTTCAGACAGGACTTGAGACAGTTTCGTACAGATATGACTCATAAAGTGCAGTGTTGCATAAAAAAACGTGATCGGTAGTGAGAGATTGAAGTCACACGTCGGTGGTATCATCACTGGTTCGTGACAGTGTTGGTGGAGGGCACAGTGTGATTTTCATGCTACATCGTTCCCGTGTACAGTGTCATGAAACCCCCAACGTTATAAGGATGAGTTGAGTGAGTATGGCTTTACGCCGCTTTTAGCATTATTCCAGCAATATCACGGCGGGGAACACCAGAAATGGACTTCACACATTGTACCCATGTGAGGAATCGAACCCGGATGTTCAGCTTGACAAGCGGACGCTTTAACCTTTAGGCTACACCACCGATATATCATGCAGGTGGTATTATGTCATGTGCGGTACAGTGTTTCAAGAGGACAGTGTGTCCGAGTTCCCACAAAACCTGGAAATTTCACACCCCATTTTCCAGTCTTGGAAAAATGCTGGAATTTGCAAAAAAATGGATGAAATCATGGACTAATCTTCTTGTTGTTTTTTGTTGTGCTGCACTTGATGTTTCACTTATATGTTGTCATCTTATCATAAAGAGATGTGAATGGACAGCTGTAAGGGGAGATAGGAGGCCGTATTTAACATATTGTTTTATTCAGACACAGTAATTTATGTTTAGAGGTATCAAAATACCTTAGGACATATACTGCTGTGTCTGGAAAAAGCAATATTTCTCTTGAAAAATCATGGATGGATTATTTTCACAAAAATGTGGGAGCTTGTGTGTGATAATACCGATAAATCATGCAGGTGGCACAATGTCGTACGATGTAACATGACGATAATGTGGGATTAAACTTTGCGAATTGGATACAACAATATCCAGTTCACTTATCTATTAGCCCAACGTTAATTTTTTGGAAAAGCAGACACCCCACCGTGCATATTAAATAGAGAATACTACACGAGGTCTCATTACATACGAATTATACGAAACGAGTGTCCTTCCTATGGTATCTGACCGAGCGAAACATAGGAAGGACACTCGTTTCGTATAATTCGTATGTAATGAGACCGAGTGTGGTATTTTATTTATTACCCACGTCTTACATGCATTTAATTGACAAAATAGCGTATTTTTGTTAATAATTTGGTTTCAAACCGAAACCGGTTTCATAAAGAGGTTGCGGAAGAGTTATGTACTGTGTTACAATATTTGCATGACGTCACTGTAATGACGTCACTGCATTGGTAACCGACGTCACGATTCATGTCAGTTGTCATCGCCTCGTACAGCCTCCTTCAGTAAACTACTCCGTAGCAATAGACCGATCCAGTCTGTCAATCAAAACTGGCGCATGCGTCAATTTTGGCCAATCAGCAGGCCGGGCGCGCTGTGTGGATTTGTCAGACTTATTTCCGGGGTCAAACGATGCATCCGAAGCGATGTGCTTCAAATTATGCCATTTACACTCGCTATATTTATTACATATTGCTGCGATTTGATGTGTACCTTAACAAAACCATTACGGCCAAGACAACAAAAATGGAGGCGGATCAAGAAACGCGATAGGCCTGACGATCAGTTAAATGTCTGCACCATCGTTCAGGAAACCTACGTCTGCCTGCTGATGAGAATTTGCACGAATTTGCACGAATTTGCACACTTTTGCACATGTGCAAAATTATTACCAATTGATGACAACAAATAGCAGTTTAAGACTTTGCAAGTGTTATAAACACGGACAATTCTTGTAACTACAAAATTGTTTTTGCTTAACGTTTTTAGTCACTACTTGGCATTGAGTTGGTACGCCTCAAAGCGCATAAGAGACAGGCGAGAAAGCCGTGACACAATGTAAACAAATCTTCATTTCGGTTAGGGTCAACCGAAATAGCAAAACATGTTACATGAAAGAACAATGTGGCGGATATTGTCCCCTTCGCTCTTAGATATTCTTCAATTTGTCACACATTTTAGGATGTTTTAAGTTTCATAAGCACAATCTGAAGGCCTACAGTATCTTGTTAACAGAGCAAAATATTCGAGGAGTAATATTTTTTATTCAAACGGAAGTATTGTCAGTGTCAGCAGTTGCCTATCATGCAATATCCAAGTATCAAAATTAGTTCATATGAGTGCCTATAAAACCATGCTTTAAATATTTCAGATTTTTATAAAGAATTGCATGGGACTTTGAACTGAATTACCTTCCTCCAGGTTGATCGAATACGAAAACTATGTGAGAAGAATAGTGACTTTCTGGAGTATTGGACGGAGTGAAATAAAGTGTATATCTTAATTATGAGAACATTATTTGAAGTTTTGTTACCACATAAATTATTCACATATAATGGTACATTTTAGGAGTAATATTACAACTGTAATTTTGATTAATTCACTGGAAATGATATCAAGGTATGTTTTCAGAATCTTGCTTTTTTTAGTAAACGTGGAAGGGTAATAAAATTAATAATCAAATCAATAATAAATAATTATTTAATTGATTGACATATCAGATTTTTTAGATTTTAAGGCAGAACTAGGCAAACAAACACCATACATATCAAGGCAGGACAATCACTTGGTATTAACTTAGTTTCTTGGCTCCTGCTTTTAGATGTCTTTTTTTAAATACTACATTTACTAATAAGATAATTCTGAAAGTGATTGCTAGTATCATAACTCATTAAAGTTATTTCAACATCCAGAAAATTTGAAAAAGCAAAGGCTACGTTTTGGTCAAACCCTGGTCAGGCATTATCTAGTTCTGGAACAGAATAACTTACAAAAATCTCAGGTGACTTTTCATGTAACGGAATAAAGATTGAAACATATATTTAATCCATATTTGATATAGTTCTTCTGATAAACCATAAGTTTTTTAGGAGGTTACTACTATTTGAAGACTGAGCCAAAGCTAGTGTTTATTAAGATGGTGGATTTGGACAAATTGTTCAAGGTTTGTTGATGGTTATTTGCAAAATGAGCTTCTTATTAAATTGCACACTGGTTTGTAGGAGGTGAACGCTTCAGGACATTTTCATGTCTGTTTTCCTAAACCTTTGTTATGACTTTTACCAAATTTTGAATCAACTTTACTATAATTTTTATGACACCAGTAAGTATCTCAGAAAAGGAAATAGATCAAAATCAGTGTTATGTCCTCTAGGGATATGGTCTCAGATCTAATAAAACAAAGATTATCATTGTTTAATTAAGAAGCAATAATTGTATTGACAGAAGGCTTTGAACATAGGATATATTCTTTGCACCTTATTTACACTAGTAGTTAGCAGTTAAACATCTCTGATGAAAAACAATAGATCTACATTTGTATTTTGTGTAACATTCTATTTCAATGCTAGTTAATTGTTCGAATAACTGTGGATTCTCTGTTCCAAAATTTGGCATCACATGTTTCCTATTTCTGGAAGATGGGTCAGCTAGTGTACAGGTGCAGACTGTATCTTGGATCTTCTTTGTGTTCTGGTGCTGTGACATACCTGTACATAAACGCTGGCAGTTCATGAAGTCCAGTATTGTGGAAGTTTGTATGTAAATTAGATTCCACAAGAAAGTACATATAGAAAAATTAAATGGAAATGATGATTAAAAAAAATGATTTCCTTATATTCAGTGTCATTTTATCATGGTGTACAGATTTTGAGAGAGAAACTTTACTGAGAGTTGCTGCAGCTCAGCAGTTGAGTATTTGCTTCTGGGTATGTCCAGATACATCCATGGAAACATATTGTTTACAAGCCCAATTACCTTTTCCAGATTTCCAAATAAGATCAAATAGGTTATGCTGTGATTGATTTGTTTACATTAATTGTACAGACAAATAAGGTGCATGAAGTAGTAGACGGGAAATATTTTCTGCTTTTTATTTACCATTCTCTTAATTCATTAAAAGATAGAAACCCATGTTTTCAGATTATTGAACTAAATTTGAACAACACAAACGGATAAGTAAAGGCGCCACGCGCAGTGTTGATAATCTATTTATAGATACCGAAACGATGTGCAACATGACCATGTGGTTGTGTTCACGAGTTTTAAAAAATTATAAACCCAAACAACAAAATTCAGTTATCCTTTCCCTGCTAATATCTGTGAAGGAGGTGAATTGCCAGATAGATTAATTGATTCGAAAGAAATTACGCTTCCTACAGTCTCAGCAGCTAGTCGAGACGCTTTTTCATCGGGCATGTAACTCATTTTCACTCGCCAGTTGTAATCTGCCAGCTAAAATATATTAAAAAATCACATACGTATAACTTGCCTCTTTAAATAACATTCACAAACGACGGATACCAAAGTATCACAAGCAGAATTCATCAACAACGTTCGCAATCACGTAACGTTTCGCCGGCGGTGACGCCATTGTGATGTGCCAGTGGTTGTCCCCCCTAACGTCAAAAACGAAGTGGGCGGGGCTTATCGGCCGAGACTGGATCGGTCTATTGCTTCGTTCAGCTAACATCACTGGTGGAAACATTGCGCTTATGTTTTTCGACGGGTATAATGTCTCAGTTCGACTCACAATTAACAGCGACACGGCATCGTTCGCGATGTTTACATTCCCACAATGCATTTAAGTTGTAGAATGAATCGATTCACGTGTTTGTTATGAATGAAAAAATAGTTACGTCAGAATGTGACCTAATTGAGAGGTCATCGGTTATCCAATCAAATCGTTAGAATCTCAGGTCAAGTCGTTACGACACAGGTCAACGCGATACGACACTCGTGTGACGTACGAGATTAGTATGCAACTACCCATACGTTGACCACGTAGGTAATAAACCTGTGTAATATACTGAATGAAAGAGAAAGAAAAGAAACCTACTTCACACTTGGAGAAATGAATTATATTAAACATGAGTTGGACAAAGTAGTTAATATGGGCGAATATCATAGTGGTCATGTCTAACCTGACACATCCGCCCATTTTAACTGTGGTGAACCACGCGGGGGTGAATGTAACACGCTGTATCGTGAAAACGCGATCCTGTGCGTGTTCCGGGTCAAATGGACATGTGCCAAACCGCCAACAGAATTTGCTGGTGACTAGAA